CAGTTACCTGCATGAGAATCGAGCTCAAGAGCCTCATCTGGTCTGAAGGACCCTGCTGTGGGGTGAGTGAGCTCTTACTGGTGGGCAGAACTGTTCTAGAACAGTCTAAGTGCTGGGTAAACTTCACTCCTCTTCCAGTTTTTGTTTGTCAGCTTTCTCTCTCCCTTGCCCAGGTCTGGCCTTCAACAGAACTCCCAGGACGCTGGGATGAAGCTCCCCCTTCAGCAGGAAGGAGAGGCTCCGGATCACAGAAGTCTGTGATCCACCAGATCACAGAAGTCTGTGATCCACCGGATCACAACCATCTATGATCTGGAAATGATCACTCGTGGCTAGCCAATGGCAGAGACACTGCTCAGCTACTTTAGCTTCCATTTCTAGAAAGAGGGATGTTTTGGGTTTCAAACTGACCTGGGGAGAAGATTATAGAACAGAAAGGTGCCCCCAAACTCTCTCTGACAGTTGTCAAGGCCTTTGCATGATTGAACAGAAGCAAGAGAGGTTGGAAGCCCAGGGATGGACAAGGAGAGTAGGAAGGAAATTGAAGACCAGCCCCAAAGTTTGCATTTTTTGAGAGGGGCCTCCCCAACAACTCTCAGGGACCCTGGGACCACTGCCAGGAACACAGAGCCTAGTCACATGGGTCCTGATGGGCCACTGCTGGGCCTGGAGTTCTTGATGGCCCCCAGAGCCTCCCCAATAGCATAAAGGAGACCACGCCTCCCATAGATTGGGCCTGCGGGTCCCAAACATGTGCTCCTCTCATTTGGGACACCATCCTGGTTCCTGGGACCAGATCTTCACCCCACCTCCCAGACACCCTGGTTCATGACAGCTTCTCCAGAGGCTCAGAGCTAACTAATGGCAGCTTGTCTGATAATGTGCAGTAGAAGCCGGCTGTGTGGATGCTGGACCGCGCACTTCACACCAACCGAATGGAGGCCCACAGCACTCCACAGGAAAGGGACTGCTGTATTTTGTCCTCTTTTAAAGAATGAGCAAACTCAGGCCAGGGGAGGTTAGGGGGGAAAAAGCAAGAGTCAGGGGTCAGTACGGGCTCAGGGTACTAAGCTCATCAGGGAGCTGCTGCCTGCGTTGGGGTGAGCTGCTCTGCATCCCTTCCAAGGAAAAACTTCCCATCTCACATGACCAGCTCACATATGTCCATCTAAGTCCCTATTTTTCCTACTCTCATTTCTAAGTCAATATACCAGGAATTCTGGGAGCTAGAGAGATAGTACAGTGCGTAACCTGGGTTCGATCTCCAGCATTCTGTATAGTTCCCTGAGCCCCACCAGGAGTAATTTCTGGGTGTAGATCCTGGAGGAACCCCTGAGCATCACCAGGCACAATGCCCAAAATAAAATAAATGAGGGGATTTTTGAGGGACCAAAAATGCACGCAGAAAACGTCAGTACTCAAGCCCATACTTGATTCCACACCCAGGAAGAACGCTCATTCCCACTCCACTGCCCTATATGCCCTGCTCGGTGGTGGCAGTTTCTCAGGTCTTGGTTTTGATGACCCTGACAATTTTAATTTAAAAAAATCTTTGTTTGGGGGGGCCACATCTAACAGTGCTCCTGGTTCTGTGCTCAGGGATCACTTCTGGCAGGTGAGGCAAACACTTTCCTCACTGTCAGTCCATGACCTTGAGAATTCTGAGAACTGTTGGCAAGGTATCAGGTGAAATGTCCCTCAGCTGGGGCCTGTCTAATGTTTAGTCTCCTAGATAAGGCTGATGGGTTTGGGGAGGTAAAGGCCTATCCCACCCCATCATATCAGGGCACAAACTCTCTGTATGACATACATAGCACCACTGATGACCCTGGGGGCCAGTGGGCCTCGGGTTGGCCAGGCTTCTTCCTCATAAAGTAGCTCCTCCCCCTCTTCCCAGACCAGACAATGCTTGCCAAGGACCAATTCAGCAAACATCTGAACTTGGACACTCAGGCAGGTCTCAACGCAAGTCACTGCACTTTCTTCAGTATAGAGTTTTAAAGTCATTCATGCATGCCAGTATACTCCCACAGACAGCTATTTTATGCTTTGCAATCTATTGTGCCTGTTAGTGAAAAGCATTTGGTTCTGGTATCACTGGCATGGGGGGGGGGGTGGTAAAATGTGAACAGGCACTCCCAGAAGCCAGAAGTTTCCCAAACCACATAGCTAATCTGTTTTTCACCCTCCAGTACCAGCCAAGCTGGGTTCTCAATGTTGAAGCCTGATTTAAAAAAATAGAAATTTGGTGCACCTTATTTTGTAAGGGGTCCCTGGCTGCAGGGACAGGATAGTGCCCACCTGTAATGCACATGAGGACTGGACAGAGTATGGGATCAGCAGGTTTGCAAACTCTGACACCCAGGCGACAGGCTGAGAGACTCCTACAAGCCTCGGGCCCTGTCCGTGGTCCTGCCCGGGTTTCCGATCTGCCCAGTAGATTCAGTCACAAGGTACCCACTTCTCCAACCTCCTCCTGCAGGCAGCAGAAGGCTGGTAGGATTTAAAATGCTCCCAACTGTCTGACACATGGGATGAAGCGAACCAGATGAAACATAATAGGAACAGAGACTAACAGACTTCAAGAAACTGACACAGAGCACAAGCCCTACCTCTTCGACAAGACCTGGTTACTTAAAGAACCTTTTATATGCCTTGTAGTAAGCAAATGTAAGGGTGCAAATAACAGGCACACGGTGCCATTGTGGGGAGAAAAATGGTGCCAGACAAATGCCGAAACGGACATTTTTGGGCCGAATAGGGAACTCTGCATCAGGTCTCTGTATATTAGATGAGATGAGAATTTACTGAAGCAGAAAAGTGCTGATCATTTACTGGAAAAGAATTCAGGTTACAAAACAGTATGCACAGCATGATCTCATTTGAAGGAGACAATCTACATAGATGCAGAGAAATGTCTCTGGAAGGATGTGATCAAGGAGTCACAGCGGGGCTCCCTGGAGACAGGGACATAATACTCTTTGCTTGCCCGTATTTCTAATTTGCTGCAAAATATACAAATGAACTGCTTCTGTAATAATAAAAGATTGGACTTTAAAAAGAAAGAAATTGCTGGCCCTCATCTAGAGTGAAGAGGAATGCCAGGCTGGCAGAGATTTCTCTTCTTTTCTGGGATAACACACCCAGATGTGTTCAGGGCTTTCTCCTGGCTCTGCCCTCAAGGATCACTCCTGGCAGACTCGGGGGGCCATACAGGATGTCGGGGATTGGACCCAGGTTGGCCAAGTGCAAGGCAAACACCCTCCCTGCCATATGTTGCTCTGGCCCCTCACAGAGATTTCTAAGAAAGACCACTGGATGGGGAAGGGGGGGCTGTCCGGGAACAAAAACTTAACAAGTGAAAAGTGAGGGTGCCATCCAAAGGCAGCCCTGCATCAGATCACTGTGTGCATGTGTGAGGCAGAGGGGCTGGCCTGGTTCTGGGGTTCTCTTGGCCCCAATCAAGATTGTTCTAGGGAAAACTGAGTCACATAATTATGGACCATGGATGACAGCTCCCGGGCCAGCAGCCAGAGGTCTGGCCCCTGGAGCAGAAGGACGTGGTGTGGCAGTGACCGGGGGTGCCAGGAGCAGGGGAGTGTGGCCTGGAGGAGATGGGGGAGGGTGCAGAGGGGAGCAGGAGCAGGACCTGTTTTTAAATATGCAAAGGCTATCACACAGAGGCAGCTCCTAAGTCCCTGTGTACAACCCCAGGGACAGTGACAGGCAAGGCTGGCTCTAGAATGCATGCAGAAGAAGGCCGGACTGGACAGGAGCTGTTCAGCCTGGGGGTGAGGTGGGGGGCTGGCTCATTCCTTCCAGGGAGTTCTGGAGCACCCTCCCCCCATGGAGGGGCTGTGGTTCAGCCAGAGGTGGACCATGGAGAGAAAGAGGGGCTCACTAGCCCTTGGAACAGGCGGCTTAGCCCATCTCTGAGGAGCCACAAGCAGGGAGGGCGGTGGGGGGAAGGGGGTGTCTGCAGGGAAGGGGGATGGGGTATCTGCAGTTGTCTCCCGCGGAGCCCCAAAGGGCAGGGCCTGCTTCTGATGGCCATGAGCTTCTGATCCCGCAGCTTCCTTCCCCTGGAGACTCCCCTCCAGGCCATGCCCCCCAAACATGCTAAACTGTCATTGTCAGGTAGAGAAGACAAGAATCCAGGGCCCCTGATATCTTCTGGGCCTGGTGTTCTGGGCCCGAGCTGTCCCAGGAAGTGCCCAATTGAGCCCCAGGGTCCCCAGTTGCCCCTACACAGCCCACAGCCATAGTCCAGTGGGAACTCACTGCTCTCGGCTTCTGTCACTGGGAGCACTGGGACAGCATGAGGGTGGGGGTGACGCTTACCCCTGGCCCCAGATCTCAGCCCCTGTGCCCAGGCATGAGAGGTCACCGGTGTCTTGGGCATTTACTGCCATTCCTTAGGGATCCTCTGCTTCCAGCCCCGCTAACAACCCACACCGAGTCTCCTTTGCCCCAACAGACACGCGTTCCCCCCAGAGACATCCCCCAGCTGCGGTTATACCGGGCTCTGGGGGTTCTGTGGGGCCAACAGTGCCAGCAGCCGGCCAGGTCTGTGCAGCCCCGCATGACAGGGGGTCACTGGGTGCCTCTTTCCTTCCGCCGCCCCAGTGGAACACCCCAAGAGTCCTCCAGCGGGGCGCGCACCTCCCCACCGCACCGCCAGGACACGGCTCTCCACCCTGCACAGGGAGGGGAGCGAAGGGAAGGGGCATCCGAGCCGAGCCGCCGGAATCTGAGAGCTCTGTGACCCCGAGGAGGGGAGCCCTGGGCCCGCCGGCGGGGGAGGGGCGTGAGCAGAGCACCCCCACCCCACCCCTAGGATACGCCGCGTGACGCTCTCGGCCGGGGAGCCGGCGGCCGAAAGAGGGGTCCGATGGGTGGGGGGACCCCGGCGAGGGGCCCTCCGAGAAGGGGGTCGCGCCCCGCCGCGGGCAGCGGGGCGGGGCGCGGCGGGCTGCGGGGAATCGGGGCGCGGGCCTTACCTCCTCGCCCTGGCCGAAGCGCAGCCCGAGCGCCGCGACGCGCTCCACGCGCAGGAAGCCGTCGGGGTCGCGGCCGCACACCTCGAACACCTGGCGCAGGCGGCGCACGGAGCGCAGCAGAGCCGCGGGGGCGCCCGCCCAGCCCGCGCCGCCCGCCATCCGCGCGGGCCCCGCAGCTAGCCCGGGCCCCGCGCCGCCGCCATCCCCGCGCCGCGCGCAGACAAAGGCCCCGCGCGCCGCCGCTGACTCCGTTTCCCCCGCCGCGCCGCGCCGCTCCCGCACCCGGGGACAGCCGGGGCGGGGGCGCGCACGCCCCGCCCTCCCTGCTCGCACCCGCGCCCGCCGCGCCGGACCGCAGGCTCCCTCCCCGCTCGCACCCGCGCCCCGGCCCGCCGGATCCCTCCCTCCCCGCTCGCACCCGCGCCCCTGCTCCCCGCTCCCTCCTCGCTCGTACCCGCGCCCCGGCCGATCGCTCCCTCTCCGCCGCTCGCACCCGCGCCCCGGCCCGCCGGATCCCTCCCCGCTCGCACCCGCAGCCCCGGCCCGCCGCCCCCGCCCTGGCGGGGACCCGGCAGCGCCCGGGCAGTGCCCGTGGCCCGGCGTGTTCTAGGCGCGTCCCACTTTTGCCACAGTCACACGCGGTCCCCGGGAAGCAGAAGCACAGAGAGGGTCTTGCACACGGCCGAGGCCGCACGGCGGGGCCCCGGATGCCACAGAGCCAGCGCACCGCTGGACAGAGCCGGGCCGCCTGGGGCTGCACAGCCCTCCCCGGAGCCCGGGGTCACCCCCAGGCCGGGAAGTGCTGGGCGCGGAGGAGGACGGAGAGGGATGGGGCTCACGGTCTTCCCGGACGCTTGTCCCCGCGGGTCACCCAGCGCACACCTAGACGGAGGGGCCACAGACCCCCCATGGCAGCACCAGCTCCCCGCCCCCACCACCCAGTCTGCTCAGAGCCTGCAAGGCAGCTGCTGCACCAGGCATCCTGCCCCACGCCAACAGCTCCCCTCCGCCCCCAACACCCCCCCAGGACTCTCGCTCTCCTCTCCTCCTCCCTCTGTGTGGCCCTCGACCCCACTACTTGCCTTGACTGAATCCAGCTGCCCTTCTGCTTTCTGGCTCAGAGGACTCCTCCCTCTAGAAGCCTTCTCTGATAATCCCTCCACCTTGCTTATTATACTAAATTCCAGTCCATATACCTGCTTGGCTTATACTATCTGTTGGTGCAGTATCCATTTCCCCCACCCCCAGCCCGCCAGGGCAATGTCCTGACCAACTTCTCAGCTCCCCTCACCAGGCCAGAGGTGACATGTCTGTGGTCCCTGTCCCATTTGCAGAAACCAAGTTTCCTTCTTGGATTTTCCAGCTCCACATGCACCAGACATAGACCAGGTGTGGGAACTGGAGGTAGCTGCCTGTCCCTGGAACCCTTGGAATTCCCCCTGCAAAGCCCTGCTGGTAAAGAGACAGTCCAGGGGAGAAAGTCCGGGAGAGATAGTTCAGGGCTCAGGTGCTTGCCTTGCCTACAGCCGCCATGGTGACACAGCCAAAGCTCCCTTTCTCACTCCCTCCCTTTCTGCAGTTTTACCCTGTGGTGGTGGTGGTGGTGGGGAGGGTTGCATGGTCCATGTCTGCCTCTCTCACTGGGCGTGGGCTGTACCTCACATCAGGATCTGGGGTGCTCACACACTTCCGTTTGAGCACCTAAGCTGTACTGGCCTGCTGGAGGTGCAGGAAAAGGGGAAGCCGTCGCCCTGCTGATCTGAGAACCGACTGGCTGGCAGGTGGAGGGGGTGCACCTGGTGAGTCTGAGACAGACCCTTGGAAGGTGCCGCTCACAGCTCACAGGGGTTCCTGGTCAATGGGCTCAGACCTGACCCAGAACGCAGCCAAACGCAGCTGAGTTTCAGGCTCCAGCCAGCTGTGATCTGGAGGGTGATACGGTTGGAAGGTGATTAGGGGGTCGCCAGGAGCCCCACTCCTCTTCATGTGACCTGAAGACCCCCAGGGGAGCCTACAGCACCTTAGCAGCACCTTAAGGGAGCAAGGAGCAGCTGACTTTCTAAGGTGGACATGGTTGGGCTGATCACTCCCCTGTTGAGAACCTCCCAGCAGGCTCCGGGTCCCTCCTGTCTCAATCTCTCCCCACCTCTCAGCTCCCTCCTGCCTCCCTCCACCTGGGTATCCCCTCACCTCACTTCCTCTGAACACTTTCCTTCCAGATACCTAGCAGTGGCCCCTCCCGCAGGGCCTTCCTGGGCCATGCCCTCCCTCCCTGCCTCTACAGGGAGGTGACAGACTATGGGGTTACCACAGCTTAGAAGAATGAAGTGAGGTAAGACATGTGAAGGTCAGCCAGGCCACAAGACGCAGTTGCATGTTCTCAGAACCCGTGTCTCCTATTCCTCATTTATCACTGGAGGGTCTGGGCAGTGGGCATGAAAGTCCACCTTCTTGGCAGGCATGACAGTGACCCAAGCCTGAGGCTTCAGTTCCCATTTCTGACTCCCAGCTCCCAAACATTGAAGCTTCCAGAAGAAGGAATACGTTAAGACCTGGACAAATATGGCTGAAAATTCTGCCCCTCCTCACCCCACCCTGTTCCTCCCCCACCACTACCTCACCCTCACCTCCACTGGCTCCTGACCTCCATCCCAAGGATGCCTGTGTCCTCATCCCTGGAATCTGCAAATGTTACCTGGTAAATGGGAAAAGAGACTTTGCAGATATGATTGAATGAATGATCTGGAGGTGATCGCCCGGGATTGTCCAGGTGGGCGCTAATTGCCAGGGATCCTCTGACGAGGGAGGCACGGGGCAGATGGAGTACAGAGAAAACAGCATGGGCAGGGGCGGAGGTGGGAGAGATGTAGCCAGCAGCCAAGGAATGACGGCAGCCCCCAGAAGGTGCTGATGAGGCACAGCTTCTCTCCCAGGGCCTCTGCAGGGGGCACAGCGCTGCTCACCCATGTGTCACCTTCCCAGGGACAGTGAGCATCTGCAGCTCTCAGCCAGTGTCTGAGGTAGTTTGATTCAGCAGCCAGGGGAAACCCAGACGCCATACAAATGTCACGTGGAGGTTATTAAAGACCATTAAGAGTCATGCTTTGAAATTCAATGTTTGTGGGGCTGGAGCGATAGCACAGTGGGTAGGGCATTTGCCTTGCACGCAGCCAACATGGCCAACCCTGGTTCGATTCCCAGCATCCCATATGGTCCCCTGAACACTGCCAGGAGTAATTCCTGAGTGCATGAGCCAGGAGTAACCCCCAAGCATCGCCGGGTGTGACCCAAAAAGCAAAAAAAAAAATGAAATTCAACATTTAGGAGGTGAGTGTTGGGCTCCACCTAGCAGTGCTTAGGGCTTACTCCTGGCTCTGTGCGCATGTGCTCTTGGTCAGGCTGGGGTTAGCAGCATGTAAGGGCAGTGCCTTACCTCTGTACTATCTCCCCTAGCCCCAGGCTTAGGAATTCTAAATACAGTGGAGCCTGTAGTACCTGGCTGTCCTGAGACTCTGGACAAGTTCATGCCTCCAGGCCTGGAGAGTAGCCCCTCCCTCACAGGTGCCCAGCAGACCCCAGGAGAGAAGGAAGGTGCAGGCCTGCTCCATGCATGCTGGGTGTTGACTGGCCCAGCCTGCCAGCTTAGTCTGAAAATGGGGCAGGAGTCACAGTTTCTTCCCGCTTCTACCTGCTGTGAGTCCCTTCATTTTCTTTTTTTAAACAGAAATAATTATCGTGCTGGAGGGGGGAGGTGGCATGAGCTCCTTCGTCTTCCTCACCTTGTCCTGAAATACCCAGGGAGGGCGGGAGCTGCCACTCCACCAGGCATGGGGGGCAGCCAGACTCCTGCAGGAGTTTACATGCAGGGCAGCAGGATGGGTGCCTAGGCCTGCCGTGCTGAGGGGAGCAGGGCCTGCTGGGGCCTGGCACTCCAGCCCGGGTTCTGAGAACAGCATCTCACTCACTCACTCACTCACTCACTCACTCACTCACTCACTCACCCACCCATTGAGCTCCAATCCTTCCACGGCTATAGAAACGGCTCCTAAGTTAGGGCTCCCAAGCCCAGCACAATCATCCACCTCCTCTTTCTCAGGACTGGGGAGGCAGTTCCCAGCCCCCTGCCTCACCTGGGAGACTAACCCACCACACCCCCAGCCCAGATCTACAGATTCCCTCTGCCAGGCTTCTAGCTGGCCTGTCTTCAGGGGAGGGGCTCCTAAGTCCTGGGCCGCTGTGGGTAGCAGGTGGAATTCGCCTCTCTAGCCCCCCCAGGCCCATCTGCCTGCCCTGCTGTGCTGTGAGACACCGAGGGTGGCCCTCTGCCGCACTCCTGAGAGACAGTGTTTCCTCAGTGCCTCCATGTCTCATCCGTGAAGCACCGCTCCTCTTGCATGGGCCCCTTCCTCTGCTGGAGTGTTTGTCCAGGGTCCCTGTTGTCCTTCAAATGCCACCTGTTCCAGGAAACTTCCCTCACTTCTCTGCTTTCACAGAACTCTATTTGGACTGTCTCAAAGTATTTTCGTGATGTTCAGTGGCGTCCACCTGCTGCCCCTCTCCTGGTCATGCTGCCAGGCCCCTCTGGACCACATGGAACTTCTCCTGGGTGGCCAGCAGGAATGAAGGAATTGGGGCTGTGGCAGCTCAGCTCAGCTTCATTTTCTGCTTCCTCTAATCTGGAAAACAGTCCTGCTCCTCCTTCTTTTCTTACCCTCCCTCCCTTCCTTCCTTCCTTCCTTCCTTCCTTCCTTCCTTCCTTCCTTCCTTCTTTCCTTCCTTTCTTTCTTTTTTGTGGGGGAAGCCGTACCTAGCAATGCTCAGGGCTTATACCTAGCTCGGTGTGTAGGGATCACTCCTGGAGGAGCTTAGCTTGGGGGACCATATGAGGTGTGGGAGGGATTAATTTCTTGATCTTTCACTTGCAAGCCGGGCAGGCATCTGAAACCACCAGGCTATCCTCCTAGGTTCAGTAATTCCATCGTGTGTGTGTGTGTGTGTGTGTGTGTGTGTGCGCCTGTGACAAACTGTTGTGTGAAGGGCTTCCTCCTGGTTCTGTGCTCTGGGGTTACTTCTGGCAGGGCTTGGGGGATCGTATGTGGAATCAGGAATTGAACCCGGGGTCAGCTGTGTATACAAGGCAAGCTCTCTATCTCTCTGACCCCTAAGTTCATCTTTGGAATTTCAATGTTCTCATCTATAAAATGGACATAAAACCACACCCACCTCCTAGAGCCGCATTCTTCCACCCGGTTGAAGGATGCATGTGGGTCTGCAGGTAGAGGAGGGTGAAAACCACTG